CGACTATCGTAATTCCGATAGTCCCTAAACAGATTGACCAATGGACCTTCAAATCGTAGTTCACGAGAATCCACTATCTATATAAGGAAAAAATGAAAAAGAAGAAACATAAAAACAATTTTTCCTGACGTTTTTTTAACATTTTTTCGTTTATTTTCACTTCATTCGATGCGAACATGCAATCAGCCAATCAGAATTTTGGATTTGTGATAACCTATAGTTTGGTGCCTGAGTGGGAAATCCAGCTCTCAGAAGTTGTAATCCAATAGGTTTGTTCAAAACAAAAGACAAAAAGTGTGAATTAAACAAAAGAGAGGTCATTATATTTATTGCGAGGTCATTATTACTAGGAGGTCGTTATTACTAGGAGGTCGTTATTACTAGGAGGTCGTTATTACTAGGTGGTCGTTATTAGCCGAAATAATGACTTCAAGAATATCTGGGTAGTTTTCATAAAAATACGACATTTATACAAAGAGAACAGGTGACAACAACAAGAAATAATCTTTAATGAACATTCAATACACTATGTTTAGGCTACGATAAATTATTATTTCAATCAATAAATCTTAAATTATAGTGTAACACTTTGATAATAGTAGCTGGTATAGAGTGATTTTCTTGATCCGTCAAAGCCTTATAGCCGACTTAGGGAAAGAATTCTCTACTATAAGCTTAGTTTTACCTTAAAGGTTTTTAAACAGAACAATGAAAATCACTCTATGTCAAAAAAGAAATCAATTGTTATGAATTGTAATATTGCATATGGCACCACCACTTACATTCAAACATATTTGCCCTGAATAACTAGGAATCCCCAAAGCTTCGGGCGGCGGTTTCCCAATGTTTGCCGTTTCGGTGCTACTACAAATGCCTTCCTTCCCAGATTGAACAACATTGGAAACCTTAGCTAATTGTTTGTCAGANATTTTATAGTCCCGTGCGACTATGGAACGTGAATATGCAAAAACTTAAAAGTTTTTATTTCTATTCAAAGGGACAATATCCCATTTAGTGAAATTCCAGTAAGTAATTTTGCGCTTGCAGTTCATTAAAACAGGGCTCGAAATAACAGCAGGTCAAAGGACAATGTCCTTCCAAATTTGCTAAATGACCGGTCAAATCAGGTTTTGAAAGGACAAATTGACTGGCCATATTTAGACAGAAAATTTTTTAGATTCACTAAACATTAAGTATTCAAAGTTTTTGTCCTTCCAAAAATTGGTTATGACCTTCTAAAAATGTATCATGAAGGTCATGCTGTCCTGCGTATGTCTGGTCATTATTTCGAGCCCTGTTAAAACTTTCATACTAAGCGCAGAACTATACCTACATGCTCATTTGTTAATGACTAAAAAGCCAATCAACAAAATAAAGGTTGTAGGCGTATTTTAAAACAAAGCTTGTTGTCTTTTGTTCAAGTTATTATAGAACATTTTTCATATCACATTTCGAGCTTGTTAATAAATTTTTTCTTTTGCAAAACACTGAAAAGTTAATGACTTTTTTTCTTCGAAAACAATGAAAGTGTGCATTAAAATGGATAATGGACTCGCTCTTCGCTTTATTGAAAATAATGACCTCGCGCTACGCGCTCGGTCATTATTTTCAATAAAGCKMAGAGCKMGTCCATTATCCTATACATATTCCGTATTCCGCTGTTCTCCAGCACCTGCTCCAGAGGTGAATATTCCCGTTCCTTGCAAGTGATAATATTTCGGAGAATATTCCTTATGATTTTAGTTTTTAAGTGCTAAGTAGCAGTTACGTTTTAGTTGATACTTAAGCCAATTATTATTCATTTTATCGWCGTTTCTTTACTCAMTGGCTGAGTATTTCCTATTCTGTCTCTTTTGCGTGTGAAATATTCCGWAGTCCGTACTACATTTTTCAGGGAATATACAATATTCCTAAGATTTTGAAGTACGATATTCAATATTCAATATTCCCCTTCCACCCCCGATTTTAAAACTACAAAACCTACAGAAAACCACTTTTCACTGGTTGGCACTGAAGAGTATTCTTACCACAGGCATGCCCCGGCTTTTTTTTGGAAAATATAGCAAATTCGGAACTCGATTTCTCTTAAAATTTCTAGCTTTGTTTAAAAAATAARAGCATAAAAGCAAAAAGCATATTTAATTGAGTAACATCGCGTGCAAATGCAAGAGATCCGTGAGTATAGAGGACAATGAAAATAGTTTGAAATAGTCRCGAGTTTTTCATCTAAATTTCTGCATGTTTTACACACAAATGAGGCTAACACAGCGTAAAAGAAATCGCAAAACTCATTTACTGGCTTCAAATTTTCATAAAATGCTGTTTTCGAGTCAATTTTAATTTTTCTTCAACTCAATTTCTCAAGT